TTGTTTGTTTGTTTGTTTGTTTGTTTTATTTCGATCTCCATTTAGTGTAATACATAAAGTTTACACTACTCTTCCTGGAGTCCAACTAACTAAACAAAAATAGTAAAAACAATAATAAATCAATCAAACATAAATTAAGATAAACAATAAATAACGGAATAATAATAATAATAAATTCATAGCAAAGATTTATCTTGAGATAACAAAGGATAATTAACCAAACTCAGCATATAGAACTTAAAATGAACTGAATGGGAGGTCAGAGGTCAAAATAATAGAAAATGATATAACTGAAAGTGATTGGAAAACATAACATGCAACCAAACACTTTGAAAATCAAATTAACAATGAAGTAAACAAAATGTGGACTCAGAGAGTAATGACAAATTATATACAACTTTAGATGAAGTAGTCCATACATAACAAAATATAAATAACTGAAATGAAATGAAATATACAACTTTAGATGAAGTAGTCAATACATAACAAATTATAAATAACTGAAATGAAATATACAACTTTAGATGAAGTAGTCCATAACTTCAAAATCTTAAAAACAAGTACTAGTACAACACAGATTTTATTATTTTCTGACACTTAGATGCCAAGAATATTCCGTAAACTACATTTTGTATGATACATTTGATATGTACAAAAATACCTACAAAAATATTTGGGTGCACCAGTACACCCACAGAAAAAATTGGGTGCACAGCTCCAATTTTGGGTGCACTAAGGTGCACGTGCACCCAGTATTTTTGAGCCCTGCTATCATCATATTAAATTTGGCCATAGAAACGTATGGTTGAATACACTGAAACAAATCCTCATGAAACAACTTTCTCACATTTCAATCGCAAAAATTCTTCTGCACCAGAGAGCCAAAAGGGCCTGACTCAGAAATATAGAAAGAAAACTGGGGGTTGACCAGCTCAAACACTGACAACAGCTGACAACAGTGAACAAACCCCTAGCTTTTGATCTAATTTTCCATGACGTACCCATCCAATCC